GGCAGTATGAGGAACCATTTTTTCGAAGCCTTTTCCCCCTGGAAAACAAGTAGACCCTGTATGGAAATGCCTTGAGATTTATTTTATAATTAAAGGTTGGACAGTTCTGAAAAACTTCGATCATCCAAGCAAAAATTTTAGAAAAATTCAGTAATTTTAGAATCACTACTTTTATGTTAAATATACAGATAGAAAGTCCTAATTTAGAAGCCAAAAGTTTCTTCAAAAAACAACAAAAAAAAGAACTTCATTGCTGTGGTATAACCCTATTTTGCAATCTATTCTTCAGTCTTTTTTAAAATTCACAGATACACTAACGAACTTCTGATGTTAGATTTAGAAATCAGTTAAAATATCAAGTATTGGTGATGACTCAAAAACAGCATTACATAAGCCTACAATTGAAAACATTTTCTTGCAAAATTTCTTCTGCCAATGAACAATACAAAAATATTACATGTCTATATCCTATAGATATCTTCTGATTTCTCAAAAACTTGATGATTTAGAAACAATGTAAGAAAAACTGGCTGATGTGAAACACAGAATTCTTTCAAATTATTTCATTAAACTGACATTCCAGACTAATGGACATAATTTTTTATTGCAACCAAACCACAGAGCCCACATTTAAGATATAAGAGAAAGCATCAGTTATGTGACAAGATTTTGCTAAATCTCAATAGTCTGGGTTTTTTTAAGCAATGAGTAGCCAAAGAAAGTTATTAATATTAACACAGATAATGGGAGAAAACTACAGAAACTCCAAACACAGAAAGGCTGTTCATGTATCCTAACAGCATAACCACTATGGTTGAAAAACCACACAATATTCTTTCTCACATCTGTTTTGTTAATGAGCCAAGAATGAGGGTCTATTGAGTATCCTAGACAACTGAATTAGAAGTAGGAATGTCTGGTGAATGCTGTTCATCCCAACCAATCGAGACAAACAGGTTTGGAAAGAATACTATTCTTAAATAAATTATCTTTTTAGTTTTACCTTCTTGCAAATAGATAACTTGCCTTTTCTTCCCATCCATTAAAAATAAAAAACCAAACAAACCCCTCTACATACAAAAATTACTTAAAAGTCCTAGTTTTCAGTATTATAAGAGAAAGTTTAAAAAAATATTTATTTAATTCATCTTTCAGGTAGATCCTCAAGTATTTAAAGACCACAGAAACCAATATGCAAAAAGATGGGTGTGATATAAAGCAACATAGTATTCAATTAGAATCCAACAGTTTATGGCAATTTGGCAAGAATTCTACCCTGAGCTAGGGTTTTTCCATATACAACAGAGAATTCTTCCAGGAAATGTCCCCCTTACAGGGCCCCTGGCCTCTTTGCATACTATCAGACCAGGCTTATAGAACCAAACAAATGCAATGTTCCCATTGAAAAATATAAACTAATATAAATTACTTCTAAATTACCAACTTATTACATGAAAATCTCCAAAAGAGCAAAAGTAGCATCTAGAAATCATTTCATTCATTCTAACTGCTCTCCAAAATTACTTAAAAAAATTTTTTTAACTAATATATTCATTAGCTTGGAATTTAGTTTAAAAATTTAAAGAGTAGTTATATTAGGGTGATGAAATCAAGGATAATTTTTAAAAGTCTTCATCATGTTAATCTAATTACATTTCAGAGTTACATATGTGTTCTTTTTTTCTTCTTTACTTTTTAAAGTCTTTGTTTACAAGAAAAAAGTTGTTTCTTGCCTCCTTTTCAGTTTTCCTTCAGGGCATTCTATCACTGTCAGAGAAATTAAATTCTAAAACAAAAATCAAAATAATCTAACACATTTTTATAAGTCCCAATTCCAGCCGAGGGCAGCAAATACTAGGAAAAAAGTTATAATGGCCACTCCAGAGCAGCACTAGCTAAAATTTAAGCGACAACCAACTAGAAAAACCTTTTCGATGTTTAAAATTCATGCCCTCTACCCAGAGCAGCATTTTATTTCCTTCAAGACAAAAATCTACAAGTGAGAAAATTTATATAACAATAAAAACATTTCCCAGGTGATTAAAAACGATTGTTTATTTTAAATACTAAACTGAGAACCTAATGGCATTATATATTTTAGTATTTTGAACCCACAGCTTTTATTCATCTCATTCAATTCTAGCTTCCATAAATGCAATTCTTGTTCCTTTGGAACTTGTTCTCAAATGACTTTTCTTGACTTTCATTATTAAAGCAATGCACAGTCCTAAAAGAACTACATTCAAACATGAATTTGAGAATACAACTAAGAAACAGTCTATTCACTTTTGTAAGACTGTATAAGACAACTACCAAACACATTAAATCCTTTGCATTATCACTAATTTAAAGTAGTACAAACTGTTTTTCTTCCATTGGTAGGTAAGTACAATTCTTTCTATCCTAAACAGTAGTCTGACTTTACTTGAAAATACAGACTAGAATGGTATGGTCCTAAAAAATGGCTACTCAGGAGAACTGGTATTTGTTTGTTTGTTTGTTTGTTTGTTTTTTGAGAACTGGTATCTTAATGAACATTTCGGTTTCTTCTATTTACATTTTATTTGGACCAAAAATATAACATATATACCATTAGTCTAGTTGTAATTAAACCATAAAAAATAGGGTTTCATCAAAAGCTCCCCTAAGGAGTCACAGGCATAGATGCTAAACTATTGATTATTACTATTTAAAAACAAATTGTGCTAGCTTTTCAGTTAAATCGAAGTTTTATACAGTACTAAATCAGTACATTGTAAAGGACACCCTTAAAAATCAGTTAAAATATCACCTGTGAATGGGAAGAATACACAAATATTTACTTTTAGTGAAGAATGATTCACCAAGAAACAATTATATAGAATTTCTATCTGAAATATTCTAATGTAAATAAATTTAAGTTTTCTATGTATCCATCTGACAACTAGAATTTAAAGTATCTTGTCATAAGATGATTCCTGAGAATCTCCACGCAAAAGAAAAACTTAGAGTTGGAGAGCCAAGATCCCACACTGATTCAACAGACTATTAGAGAACATCTGCCTCTAAAATTTTTTAAACCAAAATATGTATCCGTCAAAATCTTGATTTTAAACTTACTTGCACATTTTTCCCAACTATGCTTTCAATTTCATTTGCAGCATAACAATTACATGTAAGTCTCAGAAAGAATGAAAATTTTGTTTTTGATGACAATCTTGAGCCAAATTATACTTTATTTCATTATTAAATTAAAGTCAATCATGTCTAAACTGCACTGAAGAATAATTTTGTGCTTCAAGATGTCCAAGCATATGGTTGATAAGTCTAACTATACTTCCGCAGATGTGAAGACAGTTGAATGGGTATGTATTTCAGAAATGGCACATGTAAAAAAGAGGTAAAATTTATCTGTAGCTCAAGAATTCATAGGAGCATTTACTGAATTGTACTTGGCTAACTGGACTTGTTGGCTAGGTGGTTTGACTTCAGAACTATTTTCTAAGATGCTGTCCATATATTTGGGCATAATTTCGCATGAAAAACCCAAAAAAGAAAAAGAATAAAAAACTTTAAGAGTTAAAAAAAAAACTTTAAAATTTAAGATAATTAGTACAGTGTTTAACTTTCATGTTTGTTTTCCAGGCTCAACAAAAAGACACTAACGTAAAAAATCATATGTAGCCCCCAAATCATCACATTCCCTAAATAGTGTAGTAGAAAACTGAAAAACAAAGGACAGTTTCAGAAATATACAAATCAATGATAAACAAATGAGAGTCTAAAACTCTTCACAATCTAGACAAACTTTCCCTTTTTAAGAAGATACAAATAAGGCAAAAAAATGGAGCATGCAAGAGAAGTGGCAGAAATGGATTAGAGAAAATTCCATATAATAAAACTTGTAATAAATCCTTCTCAGTCCACCTCTACAATTTCTAAGTGCTTTCTGCATCTACTTAACAATTAGACTCCTTAACAATTAAAACTCCTCAACACAGTCAACAAAATTTTTATCATCATTATGTCTCTGGTTTCTTTCATCTAAGTTTTTGTTATCTCATATTTAGGTGCCTCTAGAATCGGCAAAATGAGATGTGAAATTCAGGAACTTGTGATACCATTAGTAACAAGACACCCCTCAGTATTTTAAAAATTAATTTATAAATTTGTGACAGGATGAAGCATATTTCCAAATTTAACATTAGCAAGTATGATCATTTGGAAAGCAAACCGTTATGTAATATCTACTTTATGTCCTTCAATTAATTACGGACGGTAAAGGGTGCTTTTTCTTAAGTACTGCCCATATTGCAATTTTTTCTCAAGACTGTCATTTTTTCCCAAGGAGAGAAGCAGTTTTCTTAAATTCCAAATTTCCAGGAATATGACAAACGATTCACTAGGGAACAGAAAATGGAAAATATATATATAGCCAGCAATATTAAGATCTACCTCCTCACATAAGCAGTGATCCAGGCTGATATGACATTTCCAAGATCGTCAGGAACTCTGTATCATACTGCCACAATCAGAAAAGAACCAGGGGATGGAAGAAATGCCATCTTGCATTTGATGTTGCACTAATACCTATTTCAAACTTAATTCTCATCTGTCGTCTCAATGTATCTTCACGAATACCTTACGAGATAAATAAGGGAGAGGGCTAGCCGCCCAGTGCCTCTACAGGACACACAACACGGTTAAAGGACACACACACCGTTACATCTTCAACTGGAATAACAAAAGCGATGGCAAACCCTTCTAGACTCCAGAAAAAAAGAGTTAACAGCGCCTAGAGAACCCCAAACTTCAATCCTTTGAGCAGCGTCCCCTCCCCGCAGTTTCGCCTACTCGGTGGCCCCGGGGAACTGCGGCGGGGCTGCGGGGCGGCGGAGGAGGGGCCGGGAGGAGAGGGGAGCCTCCCGGACCGCGCTCACCTCGCTCACCGGGGCCGGGGCGGAGGGAGCGACGATGCTCTGCGGATACCTCCACCGACCGGACCAGCAGCTCTGACTCACCTGCGGAGCCGATTTCCATTCATGGAGCTGGGGGCAGTGCTTCGAGCGAGAAGGGCGCCCGCCACTGAGGGCAAGGAGTCGGCGCAGGGGGGCGAAGCGGCGCGACAGAACCCTCACTCGGCCCCGAGGCGGGGTGGCGACGGCTTCTCAGCAACCGCACTCCTAAGGCTCTCGTCAGGAAGAGCGGCCGTGGGGAGGCAGCACGCGACTAGGAGAGAGGAAGAAGCGTGAGGCGAGAAGAGGACAGCTCCGTGCGGAACTTGCGTCGCCCGCGCCCGCTTACGCTCCCACTGCCTCTCCACGACTGCGGCGCCGCCGCCGACCTCCCTGGGGGCCGCCCCCGGAAGCCTGATGGCGTCAGTTCCGCCGCCCCGGCTCGCCCGACGTCTAAGCCTCGCCTCTCCGCCCAAGC